GTTCAACAGCTTCTCCTCCTCCTCCTCTGTACTGCTGCAAGAAGCAGGTAGTGCAAGGAAGCAAAGTCAGCTGTGGGGATGTGCCCAGGGCACCACATGCCCAACCAGGTGGGTGAGAAACTGCAGGCATGTGACTCCTGCTCCAGCAGGCTAGGTCCCAACTCTAGCTCCCAGCAGCCTTCTACCCCTGAAGCGATCTGCAGATGGCTGCTCATCTCACCAGGCAGGTGGAAAGGGTGGAAGGTGGCCGGAAGCTGGAGCTGGGGTGCCAATCACTAGGGCAGGAGACTCTCAGCTGCAGCTTCCCCATGGGGCTTGTCTGAGCACCTGCTGCTGCCCATCATGTGTCCCCACAGCTTCCCTGCATTACCTGCTGCCTGAAGCAGTGGAGGAGGGAAAGGAAAAGGAGGAGGAGCTGCTGGATGCAGCAGGAGTCAAGCATCTGGGCAGCTGCAGCAGCAGCTCCACCAGGAAACTGCGTGCACTGGCTGGAGCCAGGCCAGTGCTGTCCCGCAGGTGGAGGGTGGGTGTAGGCAGAAGCACAGCTCCACGTAGAGTGCTGCAGGGGCAGCCGTGGGCCAAAAGGAGAGGGGGTGTAAACCACACCTTCACTATACTGCCTGGGTGAACTCTGCTGTATATGCCCCCCCACCTCCTCCCTCCACCCACAGCCAGCCGGCTCCCAGGACCTAGCATGAGGGCAGCCCCCCACATACACATGTGCACCCACACACTGCCACACATACATCCCACATCACGCAAACTCCCACCCCCATACACACCCAACACACCAACTTCCCCACCCCAACTCCCTCCACACATCCACCCCTACCACATCCACCCCACACCCCCACACACAGTATAAGAGTAAGACTTTATTTGAAGCTGTTATACAATCTCCTCTATATACAGTACTCAAAAACATAAAAAGGACAAAAATTAATTTTTGAAATAAAACTAAAATATAGTAGATGTTTGATTTTTAGTATATTTGTTTTTAATATATAATTTGTTCAAATGATATCTTCTAAAAGATTTTACATGTGCAGTCCTTGACAGCTCACCAAAACTTGTTAAGTGGCCTGACAGTCGAAATAATTGCCCACCCCTATCTTATGTCCTAATGCTTAAGTGCTTGCAAGTGTTGGCTAGAGTCTGCTACAGAGTGGATTGAGGGATTTTTAAGGTGAATGTTGGAAGATTTTAGCCAAAAGACAAGTCTCTAGGTATGGAATTAAATAGCAATATAGACGTGCCCCTAGACTCTCATCTAATTTTGGCAATAGTGACACATGTACATAACGATCATTTTCTGAAACGTAAAAGACACTTTTAATGCCCTCTCTGATCATCATAGTTAAAAGTATATAAAATTTTAAAACACTAGAGAATTACGAAACGAAGGCTACTGATAAAATAACTTTATCATGGTGGAAGTATCATGACAAAAACACATAAAATGCTAAAATGAAATAAAAACAATGTTCAAGTACCAATATTTTTATTTTGAAATTAAAAATTGATATATCTTACCTCAAATTTATACGTTGTCAAGTAGGAAAGATCTTTTTTTATAAATTCACATGTTGTACTTTTATACACTTCGCCCTCCCATTTCAGGATGAAACTTTCATCTGGACCATTTGCTTTCTTCAAATCACATTGAATTTTGACAATATTATTTGACAGAAATTCTGGTTCTAATAACGTGAATTCTGGTTCTGTTTAAAAAAAAAGAAATTACACCATTTTTAGGTTAGCAGTTTAAATAAAATGAACAATGTTATCTTTCCATCTACTTTTTACTGACTATGCACCAACTCATTCCAAAATAGTTACTAAATTTTGCCTCCTGCAAGAACACTGGCCTTAATTCTGCAAAACAGAAATGTGCTTTGCTGAACTGGCATACCCATAATTTGACAGTGAGGCCATACTGTAACCAGACACCTCTTCACATGGTTTTGTAAAGCTAAGTGACACAGCAGTTGCTCCACTTCATTACAGTAAAATCCCTGTTGTCCGGGATTTTACTAAACAGTAGGGCTGCGCAAGTTGGCAGCAAACTGATCTGGCTTCGGATCTGGCCGCTTTGGATGGCCGTGATCTGATCTGGAGCTCCGGACAAGGTTTCCACCTCGATCTGGCCAAAGCGACTCCGAAGCTTCGGAGCCACCTCAGAAATCCAGTCATAGGGTATAATGGGGAATCAATGGAAGATCTATAACTTTATTGTTTTCTGTCTGATATGGATGAAACTTGCAGGGATGGTAGCCTCTGCTAGGAGCATGAAGCCTGCCAGGCTTCAAGGAGATGGATGCAGGGGTTGGGGGGGAACTGTACCCCAAATTCTTAAAAGCAAAACTCATGTCACAGCTGTGTGTTACAACACAGGGGACTGAAAACTGCAGGGGTGGCAGCTCGCACTGAGGCCACAAAGTCTGTCAAGTTTCAAGGAGTTCAGTGCAGGGGCTGGGGGTGAACTGTACCCCAAATGCTTGAAAGCAAAGCTCCTGTCACGTCTACGTATTACAACACAGGGGGCTGAAAACTTCAGGGCTGATGGCTCTTACTGAGGCCACAACACCTGCCATGTTTCAAGAAGATTGGTGCAGATATTGGAGGTGAAGTGCAAGGCTACCTGTGGCCCTGACTTGCGCAGCTCCTCCCTCAAGTACTCCCTGCATGCCTGATACAGGGAGGGCACCACCGCCCTGCTAAAGGTGGTATGTGCAGGCACTTTATAAAATGGGGCCAGAAGTGCTATGAACCACCTTAACCCTGGTCACTCAACTAGGTAGAAGGGCTGGATATCCAGAGCAAGCATCTCCCCAATGCTTTGGGTGATCTCGTGTGCCTTGGGAATGCGCCTGTCTTTCTCTCCACCTTTCCCCCACTGGTTCAGTGTGGCCTGCCTCTGCTGTGGGGGTGAAGGGGGTTTTGGAGTGAGCAGGGGACTTCCCTTTTGGCAGACTCACACTGGTGCCAGGATTAGCAGCAGGAAGAAGGGCAAGGGAGTGGAGTCTCTTCAAATGCAGCAGCGTGGCCATGGTGAAGTGTCTCAAGTCCTTGCCATGGCTCATGTGCCTTCGGCAGTGCTGGCAGATGGCAAACCTGGGATCATCTGCCACCTCAAAACGATCCCACACTACACTACTCCCCCGCTTCTGGGTTGAGGGCAAGGATTCTGCCTTTTCCCCCTTCTCAGCAGGCTGAGGCTGAACAGCAGAAGGAGCTGCCTCAGCTGAGCCACTTGCCTCCACAACCTCAGTCTCCTCCGAGGTGCTGCTTTCTGGAGGAGACCTGGGTCTAGGGGAAA